CCTCCCACCGCCCCACCGGCACCCGCTCCCCAAACACCACCCGCAACTTCTTCCCCCCCCGCGGCATCCACCGCGGCCATCCCCGCCCCTCCGGCATCACTGCCTCGAACCCCTCCACGAAAATGGGCACCACGTCCGGACACGGCTCCGACTCGAGAATTAGCCGCGCCACGCCCCATTTGAAGTAGCGGAGCGCCCGGTCCGGGTGTTGGTGGATGCGTCCTTCCGGGAACACGTGCAGCCAGGCGTGCCGGTTCGCGGCGTAGGCGGAGGGCGCGGGGATGAGGTCGGTAGGCGTGGTGGAGTAGGTGTAGGAGATGGTGTCGTTAGGTGAGGAAAACGGGTCGAGGGGCTCGGAGGTTTCGGTGGTGGTGGCGGCGGAGATGGACGGGTGGACCGGCGTCGGCGAGGTGAAGGGACCGGCGGAGAGGAGGCGGATGGCTTGGGTCATGGTGGGTTGGAAGGGGCCGCCGTAGGGAGAGTAGGCGAGGCGGTGGGTGGGGAGGACTTGGCTGGCGAGGAAGAATTGGGTGCCGAGTCTGTAGTCAGATACCGTGGTTAGATAGTTGTCCATCGTCCAGTGGAGGCGGGACGTACGCTGTCTGGAAGCAGATATCGTGGCTCCCGAGCGTCCATCGCACGCTCTGCCGGTTCATGAAATATCGTTGCGGGATCACCGCCCACATCAACGGATCATCGATGCTTCAATGCCGTCAGCTTTCCGTCCATCACCCGATTCACTCGTCGCAGGATCGCAGCAACACATACACCGAGATATGATTCGACACTTCAACAAATCAGCCTCCAGCCCCAGAAAACAGCACTTTGCAAAACAAAAAAACGCGTAACTGCAGCCATGCACTCACCAGTCAACAAACCCCTCTCCCTCCCCCCCACATCCTTCCGCCCATCCAACACCGCCAAAAACCCCTCCCGCCCTTCCGTCTCCACGCGATTCATCCCGTGCAGAAACGTCCGCGTGACCAGCCCGCCCAGCGCGACGGTCAACGCGGACGTGACGCGGCGGGGGAGACTGGGGACTGCGGGATCGGAGGCCATGGTTAGGTGTGAGGCATCGTACGCGTCGTCATCGGTTTGCTCGGAGGGGATGAGGGATTCGCTGGGGTGTGCGGAGGCGGAGGTGCTGAGGACGCGGCGGTAGGTGGAGGAGTGGGGGGTGAGGGAGGGTGAGGTGGTGGAGGTGTGGCTGGAGTTGCAGGGGGAGAGGAAGGGGTCCACTTGCATGCTGGGAGTGGTATCAAAACAGCAACAGCAGTACATAAATTACAAGTTTAGGGATTAGAAGGGGTGATATGGATTTAGGTCAAAAGGATGGTTGGATACCTGTTGGGACTTGGAGTTCTTGTAGATTTCATGTTCGTTGGGGGCTTTTGAAAGGGAATATTTCGAACAATTCGCAGCGCTACTTCTTAACAGGTAAGGGATACCGCCTTCCTTGAAAATGACCCTGTAAGGCCATTGACTACAGCAGGGAAGCATGGTAAGATTCCAGATACCTGCCTTGATCTCTGGGAGCAATCGTAGCTTGAAGCCGAAGACCATCTAGCATTCATCCCATAACCTCACCTACAAACCCATCGCGACCAATATCCTATCTTCCCCCCAAGTCAACTACCTCCCCCCAATCCCTCATATCCACAGCACCATCCAGAACCCCAGCATCCCCTTAACCCCGCTCCCGCTCATTCATACATTCCACCCACCTCCAAAACACATCCCAATCCGCATCCTCCACCCATCCTTCATATCTGGCGGCACACATTTCTTCCCGAGCTTCGCTGGCCTCGTCGGCTCGGGGCGTTCTGGTCGTCGAGTGGGCGTCTTAGTCGGCTTCACTGCCCTGCTCAGCTTCGGCGTCTTGGTTGGTTTTGGCGTCGTCCCTGGTTTCCCCGTCCTGGTTGGCTTCCGCGTCCGCGTCGGCTTCGGTGTCTTTCGCGTGCGTGATGGCGTGCAGCGTCCCGACGATGCGGCGCTGCTGGGTGGCGCGCTAATGGGGAGCTCGGGGTCGGAGGTCACACTTGGAGTTACTAGATCGTCCGTCGCGCTTGAGGTCGAGTTGCTCGGTATGCTTGGGACCTCCGAGTCATTCGGGCTGTTGAGGGGTTCGGACTGTCCAGTCACGGTTGGGGTCTCAGAGTCCCCTAAGTCAGTCGGGATTTCCGAGCCTCCCGTCACGGTGGGGAGGTCGGGGGTGTCTTCGGTAGGTAACGATGGGGGTTCGCTGGGTTGAGCGGCGCTGATGGCCGAGGCATAGGAGCCGGAGATGCTGGGTTCTGAGTGGGATGTGTAGTCGGAGTGGCGGCGCTGAAGAGGAGCGGGCGTAGGGGAAGAGGATGTGGAGGTGAGAAGGGAAGAGAGGAGGAGGGTGAGGAAGAGGGGGCGAAGCATTGGGGGAGGTTGATGACTTGGAGGGCGAAGGGGGTCGATTGAGAGGACTTGATATCCAAAGGACTTTAGGAGGTTGAATAGAGAAGACGAACAATGACTTTGGGAATGAGAAGGGGGTTATATACTGTACCTCCCTGGCTATCGGAATCTATTATTCCCCGATCATAGAGCCGACGGTGGTATCGGAATCAAGCATCGTCTATTCGCAATTACCATCTCAGTGCCATTCATACGATCCTCGCTCGTAAAAGGTTCAATCATCCATACACCCACGTCCAAGACCGCCTCGTGTCATCGTTTCAAAAACCCGTCCACTTAAATTCAATCCCGATTTCCTCATTTGAAACATTTCTTCTCAGGCTCTTCAACGCCAATCTTCCCACCGGTTCGTATAACGTGAGTTCTTGAAACATGTTGGTATAGAGAAGCGAGGTGGTGCCAGGGGAGTCGCAGAACGTGGGGTCAAAGGTTGAGGCGCAGGCATATGGTATTTGAACGCTTCAAGGTACGTTGATCGGCGAATTTCCTCTCCCCTGCAGCTCGAATAGGAACACGATGTCAAAAATAGAAAGGCGTACCTAGAATTGCATTTCAAGGGATAAAGGAAAAGCATGGAGGCATGCACTAGAAGGCGAGGAGATGCTGCCTGCTGGTATTACGTCGCTTCATAAAACTGTTAACGTAGTGGGAAAATATTGCATCATGGGAAGTTGTCAGACATTGCGAGGTTTTCCTTCATCAGTTTCGAGCACTGTACCAGGGCTATCACGATGATAGACACGGGTGGAGGAAATGGATATGCTTGAAGACACAATCGGCGGTCCAGGGCAACAGCTGTTCAATCTGATAACCCCTGAGAAAACAGCGGTATCTGATGTCAGGTGATCTGTAGTACATGTCACTGTTAGACCAAAGCTTACCTCAGCAAGCTCAGGCTATTTGTGGTCGTGCCAAGGCACCGGAGTGGGACTATACCTAATCGGTAAGTCACATGCACTCCTCGAACAAATAGCCTGAGGATTCTGTCAATGGGTTTTGGGTGTGTGTGGAGAGCTTTCATACCAAATGGAAGACCATTTTTAACTCCATTTTCTTCCACTACCACACTGTGCTCCGTCAATTAAATATAACCATTCGATTCCCCTGCTTTTTCTCCATAATTGATTGAATTTTGGGTCGTGTCGGCCTGAAACCAGCGTCGTCAGAGCGCGCGGTTGAACTCGCCCACTTTGCTACTTGCTCCAAGTCCTCAGCATAGTGCTGCGTCAAACACATCTAATGCACCACATCAGAAAGTAAGAGGGTCTCAAAGACGCAGTAAGCCACAGAGAATAAATGAGATATGTCAATTCATGAAGAAAAGAGCATTAAATTTTGAGAATTTATCTACATCTACGCGACGACTTAAGGGTTGGGTGGTTATAGAGAGTGCTCTGTCACGCGAGCCAAATAGCTCGCTGAGGCTGTCTACGGTTAGCCAGAGCCCAGAGGTCTTAGACGCACTAATAAGAATCCCGCGTCTAGTGCGGCAGGAACTATCACTATAAAGGGTCTAAGGAAGGAAATGAAGGCACTAGAAGAAGCCGTAGATATGTTTAGTGCCTACTAAGTCGACTGCATCTAGGAGAAGACTTTACCTACCGGCGTAGGGAGGGGGAAACAGTTAGAGGGTTAGAAAATCGAGGACTACGAGTGTATACTAGGCGACATACTGTCTAGGCAGATATACGAGCAAGTTAGCACTCGTGCTCCTCTTCTATGTAGATTGCTTAATAGTCTTATGACACCTAAGATGAGAAAAGATCGACTACCACGGGATCCTGTTAAGTTTAACCACAGGATTGCGATAGTCACGTTAATTCTCTGCTATTCTCGGGGGTCGGAAGGGAGCAATAGGTTTCCCCGCGTATTTGACGCCTTTCTGCATTCAAATGGTGTGAAACGGCGTGTCCTCGATATTCTTCACCAGCTTGGGGTTTATAAAGGCTACAAGAGGGCCCACAGATATCTCGAAACCGTGACAGAATAAACAAAGGCATCCTTATCGCCTCTTAGTATATAGACGTCGACCGATTATAACTAGGGGACGGTCCGTCGATATACTCCTGTCTAATTCGATCCAAAGGGATAAGGATGAAGCCGATGCCACCGCGACAAAGCAATAGCGTTACCTGGAATATGACACTTTTACCAAAAGATATCTTCGCTACAAGAGGAAGGTCCTCCTACTTGAATACTAAATGCCATATAACATCTACCTGCTTCTAACGAGGCTCGAATGGGTAGAGATGGCGGTCTAGGCCTGCTCGGATGATGACCTTCTGCACTTCCTCGGGCACGTCTCTTGCAATTTCGACCAGCCGCTGTATAGCTAGCATACTCGTAGTGCTATAGGCATCGTGGACGAGATCTCTGGCGATGTCCACAGTCTCTCGTCGCCCGTTTCGAACGCTCGCCTTGCTTCGCATGGGAAATATGAACACAAAATGTGTTCAATAATAGATATTCGTGTGAATACCGACCGAGAAAGGCGTTATATGACATCCAATGGGTGTTTTCCAGGCTCATTCGACCGTAAGCTCCGGAACGATGGCTGGATGGTGATTTCGGTGTGGTCTAGTTCATCACATATTAGCGTTTTTCACCCGACACAAGCATGGACATGTAAAAAAAAATCAATTACGAGATAGAGAATACTTTAATACACAATCGATCAGATTTTGGAGTACATACGACGTGTTTTGATGTGGTTATTAATGGATCGTGATTTTGTCAAATCCGCAGAGATACATACAAACCACATACAAAATTTATGCAGAGCAGTGCGCGTCATTGACAGAATCCTCAGGCTATTTACCAGAGGAGTAGTTAAAGTAACGTGACCTTTTACAAAAAAGGTTAGACTCCCCTGAGAAATAGCCTGAGCTTGCTGAGGTAAACCAAAGCCGGGAGAACATCGGAGGTTATGAGGCACGTGATTGATACTCTGTATATAATACTCTCATTTGTTAAGTTTCTTAATAAGACACGTTTCGATCCAACAGGTGGGCGGTTGAGCTATCAGCTGACCTAACTTAGAGGTTAGAAGAAGGAAGATAGAAAAATGGGGCACAAGGCCACAAGGCACTAACGCATGTAATTAGTCAGCCTAGGTAGTTCCCCACATGGGCCTCGCAGAGAGGCCTGACGGGCGTATGTCTTTCTCTCTCTCTCTGATCTCTGACACATACTCCCTAATAGGCGCTTGCAGCTGGCAGCGGCAGGGATCGTTGTTAAACTGAGAAGTGGGGACTACCAGTCGTGCGCTGTAATTAGCTATTAATAGAGAGCACGTCGTACGACCCCGCCTTGCGCTTTTGCGGTTTACTAACTAATCCCACATCGCCGAGCCCTATTATCTACCTCCTTACTTGGAACGCCTTCTCCGATGCCTACTATCAAGCCAAACCGGATTGACGTGAATGCTGACTTCATCCGGACGGCGACTATCGCTGCTAAGCTGGTCTTAGTAAGGCCCTCAGGTAGACAGGCGATGACGACGTTATGTTAGTTGACTTGCCCGAGCGCGTAAATATTTGGGATTGAATAGGCTGCGAGAAAGCCTGGGATATCTCGCGGCTTCTACACTTTTAAACTTAGAATAGCTGGCTTGGGGAAATAGGAGGGTCGAACGGCATAGGACCTTACAACGAATGATACGTATTGCATTACCATGCTTAAGCTGTGTGCTGACTTTGCTCTTTGAATTGCTGCGTCGTCAAGAAATTCAGAAT